TACATATACTTAAGCAGCGGTTTATATCCACCCACAAAGCTCACTATTTTGGGGGGGGGGGGGGGGGGGGGGGTCATTCAAAGCGCACAGAAAAAAAAACACTCCTGCTGCTGTGTCAGGAATGGTAGTCCACTAGGAATCATAGTTCGTTTGCCAGGTGACATATTCGTCCAATATACCAACCCAATACTAGCTCCGACTAACCCTCGCCTGTACTTCAGTCTTACACCACCATTCCTGTCACACCTGGCGCTGAAATACCCATACCCACTAGTGACACCTTGCGGGACCAGCTTGCGTTATCTGGTGTGTTGCTAAAAATAGCCCAGTAGCGCAAAGTGTCACACCGTGCAGTTTTAAAAAAATATTACCCGTATTGCAAATTATTTATAAATAAAATTTGCCAATATTATTGAAATTAATAGTCAGTTTGGGTGATCATAGAAAATTGAGGGAAATGTAAAATTCCGTTTTATTTCAGTATTTTTTCCCCCCTTCATTTCAAATCTGCGGAGCTATTATTGTTTTCCTTGGTTTTCCGTTCTCGAAAATGAGTGGGTTTTCACAGCTTCGACCAAAGGCAAGCCTTCGGGACAAAGCACAGAATTCGGTAAAACATAAAGCAGAAATTAGTGAACTATTTCAGCATTAATTGACAATTTCTATGGATTAAGGGTGCTAACTATTATTTGTTATAACTTGTAAAATGTAAGACGTTTAATTACACGCACTACATATCACTGTACTATCTGTAGTCTGTGTTGTAGGCTGTAGCCTGTACTGGTAGCAGGCGCTGCAGTAAGTTGAGTGACTGCCTTACAACAATACTGTACATAGTTATTACAGCTGTCACATCCACGATGTTTCCAGTGCAGTAATAGGATAGTGATAAGTCATTTTTTTTTTTTGACTTGGGCATGGTATCTTAAGAGGTGCATGGATGCAGGTATAAAACTTTTATAAAAAGTAACAAATGTAAATGGAATGATTTATTACACTTAGCATGTCACTAAGTGTATAGTACAGATCTGCTAGTAATATGCTGTGAGCACTTTCCACAGGTAAGTATTCAGCAAATAATGCTAGAAATTGAGGCAAATGCCTGTATGCAATAAAATAAAATATTTAATGATTTTATATAGGGCAGCAGTTCTGCCTTGGCAGCTGTTGCTTTACAAGACCATATCATGAAAAACCTACAACTGTCAATGACGTTTGGGCCAAAGAGGATTCCCCCAGGAAAACCTCGACCAAAGAAGGAGGTTAAAGCTGTGGTGGACACTGGAAGAGGTACTAGTAAGTCGATTTCTCTCACTCTCTCTCTCTCTCTCATTAAGTTTTTCAACTTCAGTCTGTGATATGAAAACCTTATGCCAAACTTTCTTAAATATATAGTTACCATGATGATAGTTCTGTCCTTAATGTTCAGTTATATTAAAGTAAGTTACAGCAAAATATGGACTTTTCCCTGCAGTGACAATTTATGAAATAGATTTTTTTTTTATTTCCATCTGTATGTTGGTATTTTCTTTAAAATATTAAGCAGTAAAGCCAGGCCCAAAGAAGAAGCAAGAAGATGAAGAAAAAGAATTTGTGCTAGATCGCAAACCCCCACCCCCTACACTAGGTACGTTTGGTTGTTTCCAAAAAGGTACAGGTCAACAATAAGTTGGTTCTTTAAAAATTAATCAAATACATATTGAATAGGTTTGATCTGAACAAAGATTGAGATAGAAAATACCAACTAAGCTGTTTTTGCTTTGTGACTCAAGTATAATTTTATGTTCTATCCTGTAAGTCTCCAACAAATTTTATTCTTCTTCAGGTTTTGTAACTTATAATAAGTTCATTTTGTATGTTGGAATATGCCTTTATACGAGTAAGTACCCCTGTATTTGTAGATGTAAATTGTTTTTATGGCCTTGCACTAAGAAAAAAAACATCCTGTCTAAGTTCTCGTCTTCAACAAAATCTAGGATGTTTGCATTTTTTCACATACATTTGTATATCAGTCCTGTTTTAATAAATATATTTTCTGCCATCATATTTAGCCCAAAAACTAGGTCTAGTTGATGCTCCAGAACAACTGCTGACAGAAACAGAGTGGAATGAAGTGAAACAAAAATCCAGTAAAAGAGATGACTTTAGGCAACCGTGTGTTATATGTAAAGAGGACCTGGGGTCTCAACAACAGGTAAATATTTACACTGTACTAGCTGCTCAAAATGGTCAATTTGGATAGGCACTCAAGACAGTAAATTGTTGGTTTCGTAAAATTTTACTAATTTAAAAGATTTGTTTTTGCTTGGACCCCCACATGTATTTAAGTGCAGATAAATATGACAATATAAACAGAAACAAAATATAATGATTAAATAAATTAAAATAAAAAATTATTATAATGATAGTGTTCTGGTTGTCATCCAGTTGTCAATACACAAGATTGTTTATTAGTATAATCACTTTGAAAAATAACTTTTCCAGGTTCTGTTGTCTTGTTCACATGTCTTTCACAGGGTAAGAATGCTCAAATACCACCTCATAAATTAGAAGCTTTTGATAGCCAGGTTCAAACTTTAAACTGTAAATACAAAAAAAATTAATTGTTTATGTTTATGTTGCTGTTAGCAGAAAGTACTGTCAGAGACATAAGTTTTAACAATTTACTGGAGCATAGTTTAAATAATATTTATCTTTTGGATTAAATTGTAAAATTTTACGTTTGGATACTGGAACACATTGCTTGACAGCAGTACTAATTTACCAATAACTGAACTATAACTGATTGAAGCAGCACATATCATGGCACACTTGCTCCATCTACAGGCATGTCTGCAGGCATTTGAGAGGTACACGGGGAGAAAAACGTGCCCCATGTGTCGCAGAGAACAATACCAAACCAGGGTGGTCCATGACGGTACCAGACATTACAAGGAGAAGTGTGCAACCACGTGAGTTTGAAAAGATTTTAGTGACTTTTATGGGTAACTGACTAACAGCAGTATCATTATGCAGGTGTGACTTGGAAGAAAACACTGCACAACCATTATGGTCTGAAATGTTTTACTTTGGCAGTTTTAATGAAGATGAAGTATTTTTAGACCTGGCAGAGAAAATTTTAAAAAAATCATACAAAGTACAGATCTGTTGCTCATTATATCATTACAACAACATAGAAACCTGAAGACAACCAGTAGTGATTCAAATTGCATCGAACATATGAAGAGTGTAGTTGCAAAACTGGCAACCTTATTGATTAATAATATCTTAAAATACTGGATAAGAATTTAGACTGGAAAAGGCATATTATCTGTCTAGTTCAATATATCATTTTAAAAAAATTATTATTTAATTATCTAATTAGTATGAATATACTTGTTTTTTGGGTATTTTGAATAAAATGTGAGATGATCTTCATCTCAGTTTATGTAAAAAGTGTGTATTTGTGTCACTTTTAGCATACAGGCAGCATGGCGTGGCTATGTGGTTAGAAAGTGGTATCTGAACCTCAGGGAGACAGTTCCACCAAATGATCCTAATTTACGGAGGAAGTTCTATGAGGACAAGGTAAAAACATATATGCACTGGGACGGGTTTGTGGAAATCATCACCTGGTCTAAATATATTTATTTATTTATTCGGGGGTAGGGGAGAAATCTCCTATTAAGTTTGAATTACAAAAATGCTTTGGAATGTATTTGATTTAAAAGGACTTATCCAGTGGCAGGTCCAGCAAGGGTGGTGGCGGTGCACGGTGCACCCTTAATTCTACGTTTTACCCTTCTCCAACAAATATATAAAGCGAACAAGGCAAAACCAAGCAATTCATCCATCTCTATCCCCTTCAGATTAAACCAAAATTTTCAATGTATTTTATATTTGCTAGACAAAGGGTGCCAAAAAATTATCTATGACCACCCCCCTCCCCATTTACCCACCCTCTCCAACCAACTCACAAGCAAAATCTTGGACCCACCACATTTATTTCAATATATGTTTCAATTATAAATTGCTGTAAACTTACACATACATGTACATGAACCAGTTTTATTTGCAGTTACACAACATAACAGACAGAATAGTGAGGTCTTGTGACTTTGACATCAACAACTTTTTTGCGGAGTTGGACAGGAACTTGGAAGCCAGTCGTGAGGTGTTCCAGAACTTTGAGACTGCTGTGAGGCCAATAGATGATGAGGAATGGGACAGGATACAGCAGAGAGTAGGAATCATTTTCTTATAACAATTTTCATGCTAATATTTTAGACAATATTTTTAACATTGAAATTAAAATTTTGAGTTTTATAGTTTGTTAATGACTAACTGTTTAGGACACAGAAACTAAGTAAATGCATGGCTGGATCAAAATGTTTTTCCAATTCTTGTTTTTGTTTGTTTATTTGCTTGTCCCACATGAAAATTTCCTTGTATAGATAGAGTTTGAGATAAAATGTTAGATATTCAAAATTAAGGGTGTCATAATCTTTGTTTATCATGTGCACCTTTATTCCTTCAGGCAGTAGAACGTGGTAATAAGGAATGCCCTATATGCCTCACATCATTATGGGAAACCGATATGAAATCACCAAGGAATGAGTCAAACTCTTTGCAAGCTAAGGCAAAAGAGACTGTGGCTAAAATTGCTAACAAGCAATCTCATCTCACGTCTGGTTCAGTAAACCAAAGGTCCAGGTCAGGTGGAAGTCCAGGAAAAGAGTCAAGGTCATATATGGGTGTTCATAAAGACACGTTATTACAGAAGTCTGCCTCTGCTCCGCAACCAGGGAGAGGGAAACTTTCCAAGAAAACTACGTCTCATGTTAGTAGTACTACAGATAAAAGCATGACTGGGGATGTGACATTGTCCAACGTGGAGAAATCTAAGGACAACAGCATAGCCACTAGTAAATCAGAACAGTCTACCACTAAGAGAAAACAAGTCAAAGAGACGGTATTACTGTCCTGTTCGCATGTATTCCATAAGAACTGTGTAGAGGCATTTGAAGAACTGGCTGTGGGAGAGAAGAGACACTCCTGTCCAGTGTGCAGGGCATCATATCAGAAGAAAATTTTAACATCTGAAAACTTGAGTCTGAAGATGCATTTGTAGAGAAAAATATTTAGAGATTTGGTGCTAATTTTTAAATAACGAGAGTCTTAATTTTTAAATTGTTACCCCCTTGAAAACAATTCGAGCCCGCTCATTAGTTAAAAGTGACTGTATACCTTTAATTTTATGCAATCAAATATCATCACCCTAGGGTATAAAGTCTGACCAAAACGTATTCTCATGCAACTGCCCAAAAAAAAAAAGGGTAAAATGTTTTAATTAACCATACTTTGCCCAATTTAACATGCTTTTGGTTATGATTTGGATTCGATCAGAATTTTCCAGTACTTTGACTTGAAGGCATTTATCCAAGTTAAATGAAAATGAAGGAAGGTAATATAACTTGATGAGGTACTTTCTTGGCAAACATCTTAATTATTCAAAAATTCAAAAATGTAAAATGTGAGCTACAAATTTATCATAAGTTTGTCTTTTACTGAAGAAAATCAGCATATAATCAAAGCAAACACATTTAATGTGATTCAAGTTTGAATAAACAAATATAAAAATTAATATTAAATACGCTTTGAAGATATTTTACTTTTGTGTCTTATATCAGCTTTTTCTTGACAAGCTCTCATTCTTCCATGCCAAGCAGAAGTATATTTCTTAAATCTGCCCTAAAAGCTTTAAATGCAGTAGCCTAGCTTGTGTTTGAATAAATTTTCCCAGACTGCCAGATCTTGCACAGATTAGAAAAACCATAAAAAATATTGGCACAGCACATCTGTATTTGCCATCAAATTGTTTTAAAAATATACTAAGAAGCTTCTGTAGCAGAGAAGTACTGCTGTTCTATCCTGGCACAGAAGTGCACTAAATTGTCAAAGTTTTTTACAATCTCTGCTAATTTATTCACTGGCATAGGTGTTGTGAGGATTGTGAACAGGTGTCCAAAAACCAGGGCATCCAGCTCTGTTGGTCTGAAAGTAAAATTGTATTTTGAGAATTTGGGTGAAAAAAAATCAACTAATACAATTTTTTTTTTCAAATTCACATTTTCAATGCGTCATGTATCCAATTGCTCTGATGAACATGGAGGCTACTTCAAGCTCTTTTAGTGGTGAACTTATTTGAAGTTGTGGTAAAGAATTAACTGCTGTCACAAAAAATCAAAATGAAAACTAAAATATCACAGAAAAATAAAATTGTACAAAAATAAATATTATTGCAGATCAAACTGTATTTATGACATACCTAATAGGCTAATACTGTAAATTAGGTTTTTCAATCCTTTTGTGTAATGATGATTACAAGGTATAGTGTAATAAGTTATTTCTAAAGAAATTTGACATCTTTTTCCTATGCATTATGGAACATCTACATGTAGTTTTTGTGTTTAAAAGGACATTCGAAAGAAACATTTAGGCTCTACCTGTTCCCAAAGAAAAAGTTGTTTTTATCTAGTCTTTCTGAAAGGGCTTGGCAACATGTCTGCACCTCCTCACAAACCTGAAAATAAATTGCACAAAAACAGTCAAGTCTGGTTTCCAGTCAAGGTCATCTTAGCCTGGGGTTGGTTTCACAGAAAGTCTGAAGTTGGCTTTGGGGCTAAAATTTCAGCCTACTAAGACTAAGCAATAGCTGACTTAGTTGTATTTTTAAAAGGGATCCAAAATGTCATTCTTCATTCCTCTGTGTAGCAGCTTTGGTCCCTGGAAAAATGTGACTGTCTTCCTTTTACTTTCAGTGGTGACAGTAGCCCACTTATGTCGAGTAGTGTCAGCCTGAGTAAGGTTCACCCACCGTAAAGCAGTGCAAATATTATTGACATATCATGATAATATATACACCTTTTCATTAAATACAGTCTAAAACCAAAATTTTCAAAAATTTGAATTGTACCAAATTTTTTCTACAACTGTTTTTGTGTTGTAGATGATATGCACAGTAATTCAGAAAAAAAAATACATTTCTGCCCCAATTTACCATAATCCTTATCACATTCAAATTTGCTCAAGTTCTTCCCTTGTTATCTCACCTCACTCAGTGTTTTCTGAGACCATCCTAAGGCTTTGAGTCTACTGGTTTCTTCATACCATTTCTTCAGAGGTACCAGCTTATTAAGGGGCCAAGGGTAGGGGGAACCATACCTAGGTTTTGTGACCTTAAATATTAAAGCATATGGTTAACCGAGTCTGAACAGTGTTACTAAGTTAACTAAGGATGCTAACCCTTCAATAAATGTGACTTTTCATAAATTATGATTTTTTTCTACAATTAAATCCTGTTGATTGCATGTGCTTGTAGCATTATATAGGGCCTATATACCAAATGTAAAATGATGGAAATGATCTTTTTTGCAATCAAATCCCACTGTTATATGTCAGGCTTTTAGTATGTATTTAGGGCCTTTGTTAGTGCTGTAGACAAACAACATTATGCAGTGGCTTGTCTTGTACAAATTTGATCACATGAGGCTAAAACTTGCAGTTGGATGGAATTTTTGAGTGAAAGTGGAGCAAAATTAATTTATGTTCATTACCTCTCAGATCACCTATGATAACATGCTATTAAAATTTTAATTAACCCGTCTTTGAATGCATTATGTTAAAATTTTGCTTTTCATAAATATAAAAATTTTAACAGAAAAACCGATGGAAGAAGAGCCTGGGAAATAGTGAATGTACGTTATCTTAAACAAAAATGGAGGACTTTCACAATTTTGATCTCACCAAGATAAGTACTGTTACTAAATATTACTTACAGTTTGTAGCACTGTGGCATCACACCAGGATATATAGTGCTAAAATAAAGATCACATCATGTAAATTCATTAAAGATGTTCTCAACCTAAGTGCAAGGATTGATTTTGTATCTGGATCACATTCTGTATCTCATTGATACAAGTGCTATATTATAGTGTAACCAAGGCTTCCCCAAGAGAGCTGTCCAACTTCCACTTGGATGGCCATTACTCCCAAAAGACAGCCCATATTTCTAAAAACAGCTGGATGGCTTAAAAAATTGGGTTGATTGGCTGGGCTTGCATGGGCTGTACTGCCTTTAAATTGATCACCAGATGAGCTTCATATTTTGGACCCCCTGTACCCCGTATCATTGGGAAACCCCTTAGTGTAACAAAACCAACAAAACCCAGTTCTTCCACACATAACAAAGAGTAAATGCAAGACTTTCAGAAATATTACAACAATAAAGATTTAGCTTGACATGAGTGGGGTTCTGTTGTATACACAATTCAGTGAACTTATTAATAATAAATATGTATTATTATTATTATTATCTCATTTTTCCAAACAATATGAATTGAATCACAACCCACCTCAGCATTGACCAGTATGTTATCAACCAAAGCCATATAGGCTCTCATCTCAGCTCTCTCAGTGTCATCCAGGTTGGCACTGAGATGGAATCCCTGCAAAATACACGATTTTCTATAGTGGACAACATAGTGATTCTGTACTCTGACTTTGACAAATGTTGGATCTTGGGTCATAGTTGGAGGAATTCTTTTTCAGTACTCATTCAATGCATATGAAGACTACTGTAAATCAAAGTCCCAACAAAAAATCCGTAGTATCCTTATACTATTTTTTTCTTTTTACTTAGATGTTCATTATACTTTGGATAATATCATTCAAACCATACTGTGAATAATTACTTATTAAAAAAAAAGAATATCTACTATAATCTACTCAAACAAATGCAGTGAAAACAGAAACTAGATGTAAAGGGATTCTGTATCCCAGTAAAAGAGAAATACCAGAGAGTACACCAAAAAAGTTGCAACTACTTATAAACAATGATTACTAGTACAGAGATATGTTCATGTGAACACCAGCAAAGAGAGCTAAAATAAAAAAAGACAAACCCTACAGCTGCATGCTTACATGTACCTTAGTGTTGACAAAACCAATGATGGGTTCAAATTCTGAGATGAGAAAAGGTCCTATCTGGATGAAGGGCACCTTGCCTTAGTAACAATAATAATAACAGATTGAAAATAAGTTAGTACAGAATGATAATAACCTTGTTATGATTATCTGCATCTTCTTTAATAAAAACACTTTGGTGAAATCATTTTGGTACAATAAATCCTTTTAAATATCCTACTCTAATCAATTTAGCATGCAACTTGAATAGATTTAGGGCTTTAGTCTTAAATATTAATTACTCACAAGACATGGATTTACCGTAACTGACTGGTTCTATAATACTAATGCAAATATGAAATGTGGGTTATATTATATATATATATGAAGGGAAAATAAACACTTTTACCTGATGGGGACATGTGTTCTGCATTGTTTCTCAAAACCACTGAATACTTGAGCCCACACATCTCTAAAAATGCTTTCACACTCAGGCAGCTGGCACTGTCAGGGAGCAGAATTTGGCCAGCTGAAGTAAAAGATTTTTAAAAGAGACTATTGGGTTCTGGTTAAATATTCTGAAATTGCTTCTTCAAAATGTTTACAACAACAAAGCATCATCATTATCACCATCATCATAATAATAATAATAATAATAATAATACTAGTACATAGATAAACAAGATGGAACAAAATTAATAAAAAGAAACACAGAAAAAGATCAAAAGGATATAATCAATTACTATAAGTAACTGTTAATTTAGACAGTTAATTATGATAACATAAAATAATATAAAAATACTAACTTAATAAACACACACACACACGAAACATACAAGTAACTAATTTGTTTGACAATAGTTATATTTTAAAACCGTTTAAATGTAATTTGAGAAAAGCATTCTGGTTCACCTTAACATACCTTCATAAGTTTGATAGAGATTCACATTATCCGGCCATGGTTCTTTTGCTGAATTTAGAAGAAAATTCAATTTATTCTTACAGTTACGTAGTTAAAATCAAGCTGTATGGTATTGGTAATACCGTAGGCGTAGTTATTACCCTACTCCATACGCTATTCAACACTGTAGAGCAGGGCGCAACATGTAACTAGTTGTTACAGTGCATATGATAGTAAAAGGACTGTACGCCACTGATTGATGTAAGAGAGAGAGAGAGAGAGAGGATTTAAGCATCTGTTAACGAACAGCAAAATCATTCTCACCTCCTAATTCCACAGTCATAGCTGACGCAACCATTTCTTTGAGAGTCGTCATTTTGTTTTTATATTTATGCAACTACTGCACGTTTACCGTGCAGGTTCCTCGGTGCCCTTGGACAGAGGGCGATCTTATTCAAGAGAAGCCTCTTTAGTTAGGATATAATATTAAATGTGATATTGATAAAGATACTTCAAATAATCAAGCGCTCTTATTGAATCCAATAAAATATAATGTTCGACTATTTTGCGTGAATCACGTCTCTCTATTTTTTTGCAGACTTTTCTTGGTTCTTTCTGCCACCTATATCTTCATTCACATCTAAAAATAGTACAACCTATATTTAGCAACACGCTGTCACACATGGTATAAATATTGTCCAAGCGCTACTAATCATAAATAAGAGTACCGGATTAAAAAGCAGAGTGGCTTAGGAAGAATTCGTAGGTGACAGTCAAAGCCAAATAGGAGTAAGAGAAAAAAAATATCCGGAGAAGACGATTGTTGTGAGTAATTTAGTCAGTTTTTGTAAAGTTATGATAATATTAAATTAAGCTGATCGATTGACATGATTCATGCATACAAAATTTGTACTGCTCAATTTTTGTAGTTTTAGTTTGTCCTTCCTGTATACCAGTATTTTCGCAGGCCAACAAACATGTATGTTGCATATGGATTGTAAATAATCATTTACTTGTTTTGGGTCTTTTCATGTCGATATACCGGCCGGTACATATATTTACCGTTAATTAATGTTTAAGTCCGAACATCGATCGGTAGAACTACGCACGCACGTATACATACATGTACTCGGTTTATGTACAGTACAAAGTATACTTAGAACTACAACTGCACCTGTGTATAGAGCTACCGGTACATGTACAAATACGTATGTACATGTGCAGGTGTCACATACGGAAGAGTTAGGGGGCGGTAGAGAAAGATGGGGGGGGGGGGGGGGGGGGGGGGGGG